AGGTACAGAAACTCAATTAGAAAAATTTGTTCGCACTAAAAAAAGCTCCCTCCCCCCTCAAACAAAACGTCAAATTAATGAACAACAAATTGATGGTAGTCAGTATTCACCAACCACAAATAATCGGTAGCAAACGATGAGAAAAAAAAACACTTAACACATACCGATTACCATTCCAGCAATCAGTACTTCATTCATATCACACAATACATGATGTATGGCTTTCATTCCATACAGTGCCCAATACTGTACCACATATACACATTTGTGCTCCGATGCTCTCAAATCACCTTATTTTTCCGTATTCCACAATCAATCGATTCGGCAACAGTAGTGGGATTCTCAACTTCTCTATTCTTGTTTGCTCGTCGTTGGCCTTTGGACAATTTGATGCATGAATATGAAAATTTCTTTGTTATATATGTATTTGTTTAATACTCGGGATTAACTTCCAAAGCGGGCTTTTCCTCGATTGGCGAAATTTCACTTTACACCTTGCACAAACACTTTGTAATTTGTATGACTCTGTATTAGAAATTTTCTTCTTTCTTTCAACACAATTTTTTTCTTTCTTCCTCACTTATTTCGCAAACACCGTCGTGTCGGATGGTAAATTTTTCATTTATTTTTTCACACCATTACATATGATTTTTCATCCAAACTTTAGCGGCCAGATATTCTTGAAAACATCGCGATAATTTTTCATACAAATTTGCTTGGCTATTTCGAATATTTACGTGATTTTCGTGTTAAATTTTGTTTACGACTTCAATGCGACCCGCACTTTTTTCATTGCAATCACAAAATAAAACTGTCGAATAGGGATAAGTAAATCGACTTTCGACTAATCGTTTTATCGAATTTTTGTATTGAAAAGTCAAAAAGCCGAAATCGACTTTTGTTTTTGTTTTGTTCGTTTTGTTTTTGTTCGACTTTCGATTTTCCTTATAAATACTTCAGCCCAAGGTAGATATACAAGGTAGCCGCATCGGCAAATTTCTACAACATCGGTTGTTGTATTTTGATATGTCAAAAATATTTTGCCAAAACAAACAGATTGACAAGATTTTTTTACACAAATGCTTGTAGAAAATGTTAATAAAAGTATTGCCAAACAAGCTCTTCGAAATTCGGAGATTTTTATTTATAATTTTGTTTTTTAATTTTTTGGTTCAACATTACAACTACATTTTTGACATTTATTTGCACCAACAGCCCTGTTAAGTTGGCTTCGTACGAATTGTCAATTTATAAAGGAATATCAGAGTCAAATTTGAATTTGGACGCCGTTCTCCTTTATTATTTTTCAATAAAAGAAGCCAACTTAACATGCCAAGCCTGAAAGTCCTCTTATGTGTCTCCCCCATTATTCTGGATGGCAATTCCACGTGAATCTACTCGCTCTTCCCCTCCGACTTATTTTAAACAACATTTCCCAGTGATTTTTTCTCGCATTCTCGCTTTCGCCTTATTCTGCATAAAGTTGGAAACCGAAAAATTCGCTTTTGGGAAAAATTAGTTATTCTTGATTATTGGGAGAATGAGATGACATTTTGTACGATATTTTTCGCTAATAAATTTAAAGGGAGCTGCCTACAAAAACAATAGGTAATAAATATTTTTATGAAAAATATCTAAAATGTCTATGACGATTTACAATATTTGGTATGTTCCCGTACTGCAAGAATCTACTAATTTTTACTACGATAACACTTTTTTTTCCAAAATAGTGAGAACTAGTAGATTCTTGCAGTACGGGAACATACCAATTAAATGAGTGTGTGCACATTTTTAACTCGAATACAACAAATAAATGCCTATTGATAACGATGCATGCTCATCTAAATATTGCCATAGAATGTATAAAGGCAATAAGGAATATTGAAGCCTAGTTTGATGCATTTTAGAGGCGAAATACAGACATTTTAGGTGAGGATCTGTCTCTCAAGAAAAAACAAAGTAGCAATGGAGGGATTTTGGATATATGTTTATTATAAATGGCAATGGAAAATGTATAAAATTCTGGATCAATTTAAAATAAAATATTGTAGCATTGTATAATTATTACACAACAACAACAGCAACTAATATTTTTTTAAAAGAATGACATAATTATACAAGGTAGTCTCATGTAGTCATATGTTTCCAATTTTTTCATAAATTTCCCTTTGACAGTGCTCAGCCTTTAAAATTTAAACGAAAATATCTTCCTTAGAAATGTACGCATATTCAGTGGCAAAAATTGCTAAATAATTTATATTTATAAGTATTTTCAAATTCCCTGTCTTTAAAACTTATAAATATAAGACCTAACAACCATGGTTAAATCCATGGTATAATAATAGAAGGTAACAGCAAGTGTTGTTGTACAAAAAACGATACAACAACCACATGGAAATTTGTTGTTGTAAGTTCTACTAGTGTCAACTCATTTGACAGAAAAATGTAAACAAACAAACCAATTATCATCAAATTATTTTTATTTTGAAAATTAAATATTTTCGAATCCTCAAAATAAAAATTGAAAAACATGAATGAAAATCTTTCAAATTTATATTTCTATCGCTTCCACATATTTCCTATAATTGAGCCATTGTCATATATATGTGTAACACATATGAAAATGCTGGGAATAGCGAGTTATTCCTTGAAGAAAGATTTGCTTCCTCAAACTTTCCCAGCAGGCAGATTGAGTAAATTGAATACAAGAGCACATTTAATAAAGAACAATTTCAAATTGTATGCGTTCCCAATTTTCCTGTTGGGTGATTTTTAAAAACATAATTTGTCAAATTCATATTGACACTAGTATTACGTTGGAATCAAATCAGCTGGGATTTGCTGTTACTTTTTTTAATTGTACCATGGGTTAAATCTTGAGAGCAATGTTCAGCTTCAGAAAATATATTTTGTTTAATTTATTGAAAATTTTCCAATCGACATAGTCCTGATTTAGATTAGGCGAGTTTACTTGAGGCAATTATTATCTTTCTCTTTTGAACTTGCTTCATGCGTCTACACAAGGCAATTCGGTTTCAAAAATATTTCTTTTTTGACAATATTCTTGATTGATATTTCAAATTAGTGACACTACAAACAAAATACACAAAACGAATTGCCAGAAAATTGTCGGTACGAGCAATTTTTTTCAATTTCTATTCCCTTGCCCCTCTCTCGAGCAAACAAAGACTTGCCGCAAGTAAACTCGCATAATCTAAATTCAGACATACATACAATTTTATGTAATTCAATTTTTATATTATTTAAATGGTCTGTTCCCGTACAGCAAGAATCTACTACTTTTTACTACGATAACGAATTTTCCTTTATGATATCGAAGGAAGTAGTAAAATCGAGAAGATTATTGCAGTACGGGAACAGACCAAAAATTGATAGATGAGTTCCAAATTAAAAAGGGTTGCCATAATTAAATTCTCAAATGAGACTACCTTCTGTAATAATGCCATGCTGTGTATTTTAAATTGACAGAAGAAGCCACTTTATAAATAGTCGACTTTTTGTAATTCACCTTATGTGGCTCTACTTTGTATTATTGCATCATGGACTTTGTCAGGGTGTATTTAAAAAGATGTGTGCATAGGAAACAACATTATTGTTATAGAAAATAAATTGGTCATAGATTTTTTTCGGAAAATATATAAAAACATTAAGCAAACCACCTATATAAACAATCTGTTGTATTATTGTGGCAAAATGACACAATTTAAATCATTTCTTATTTTTTCTTGTACTTTTTGGAACCAATTTAGAATAAAATCATTGAAAATATTATTGGAAGTGAAGACTTTAATATATTATGACAATTTACTTTACAAAAATGTAAAAAAAAGACTGATTGTCACTTACACCTTAAGATTTTTGCAATCTTAGCTACTCTGAAAAGTTGCAGCAATTACAATTTGCTGTTTGTATCTACTTTTACTACTATATAAGGATTTATTTAACTATATAAAATATAATTGACAATTTAATCCTATTGGGTTCACGAAATCCGGTACAATGTTATGCCATGTTCTGACGGGCATTCGAACAACGTAGTTCGCTCTCAGAATTACGTATATGAATTAACCCGTTCATACAACACTATTCCTAATTCATGTCATCAGAGTTTTTTTATTTTAAACTTTTGCGTGAATAACATATGGATCTAAATAGAAAAAATAAGTTTATTTCTCCTGACTATAATATCAACCCCTATCTCTTTACTTTTAATTCATGTTTTCTGAAAATATTGTGGTTTTCAATACATTTTTATATTTTCTCAACTCAAATGTCACATTTAATAAATTTTTTGAATTTTTGTTTGGGTTTCCCCACTTTTGTTTCTCGTTTTGTACGCTAATTGGAACCAAGGAAAGAAATGCATATTGCATTATGTAGACAAGAAAATTTACATACTTCTGCATATATAAAAACGAGAATTTTGGTTACTTTTCATTCATCATTTTCAATTTTACTAAAAAAGTTTGAAAAGTTTAAAAATTTTTTCATGCTGTCAAAATTAATTTATTTTTGATAAATTCTTCCAATTGTTAGAGATGGGACAAAATTCTTGGTGATACAGAGAGTGATTCGAATTGGCAATTTTGTATGGGGAACTAAGTAATTACTTCATAATTAAGGGTCGAACAACGAATGAGAGAGCGAACAATGCTTGTCTGTACATGGCATTAACATATATGGCGGAATATATTTTTCATATAAGAATGCAAGAATCTATTACTTCTTACTACGAAAATAGAGTTCCCTTTATAAAACCGAAAAATATAGTAAAAATTAGTCAATTACTGTATTATATATATATATATATATATGCATTCATATTTACTATGTTACGTTCTCAATAATTACGATGAACATCACAATATATGTCATCATTTCTCAGTTCTTGAACATTTTACCTTCAAATAAGAAGAAGAATATTTACTGAAATTGTAATTCACTGTGAGTGCATGCATTATAACGAGCTGGAGTCGGAAGAAGAAGAAGGCGGTGAACATGGCCAGATACTTGGGGTTATTTAACAATTTTTATAAATATTCACTTACGAATTCCATCACAAAAAATGTTGTCTGCCCCCAAATTAGTCCCGTCTTAAATATTGTGCGACAGACCAGCTTCTTCAACAAGCTGCCGGCAGAACATTTATGGAAAGGTGTTACCGCTGTAAGTAATGCTGGTAAGAAGCGTGGCAGAGGAAAAGGTACAGGAAAAAAGGTCGCCAAGGATTTGAATCGTGGCCAAGCAATTGGTTTCGGCAAGAAAAATGTAGTTTGGCCCGGCCTTAATTCACCGATAATCAGAGGCAAGGAAATTGTAAAGCAACAATCGCTGCCGGAAGATCCGGAAAGAGAAAAGAACATTCTCAAGTTGAGAGATTCCTATGGAGGTTTCCGTCAGATAAAAGTAAGTCCTATTGATCGTGGCTGGTCCGGATCAAAATTGCCTGGGCGCAGTATTGGAGCTCCTGAGGGTGAGAGTGAAGACTCCTTTGAAGGTTTCGATACTCGCGTTCTTGAGAACAAAATCGTTTTCATCATGAAGGGCAACATGGGTCGCACAAGACGATTCTCCGTTATGAGTGTTACTGGCAATGGAAACGGTCTGGCTGGTTTCGCTACCGCCAAAGCACCAGAAGCTCGCACGGCATTGAGAAAATCTAAAAACAGAGCTGGTCAGAAATTAATGAAATTTGAACTCTGCGATAATCGTACAGTGTTCCATGACTTCTATTGTGCATTCGGAAAGACAAAAATATTTGTATCGAAAAAACCCGAAGGATATGGCCTAGTCTGCCACCGCGGTATCCAGACAATTTGTAAGGTATTGGGTATTAAGGATTTGCATGCCAAAGTTGTTGGCTCGACCAACATCCAACACATTGTAAAGGCCTTCTTTATTGGCCTGCTGCAGCAGCGAACACACGATCAAATCGCAGAGGAGAAAAAATTACATCTGGTTGAATTCTCCAATGATAAAAGTGGTCTACCAAATGTTCGCGCCTTCGCCAAAGATTGTCGTAAACCCGAAGAAATTGCAAAGGATGAAATAATGGACTTTACACAATACGTCCTGGGCGATAAGATTGTATTGAAAAAGAAGAAATTCGAACCATTCTACACAAATACGGTGGGTCATCAGTTGTATCTCAAGAAGAGAGATCCCCTACGAAATCAAGAGCAAGTTAAAATCGATATGTTGGTAAATTATAATAAAATTGGAAGTTTTTTAACCGATAAAGATATACAATAGGAAATATTTTCAGCTGTTGTTCATGTTATTAAATAATAAATTTTTAAGAAATAAAATATATTAAACGAAATAGGATTGTGTTCCATAATTGGTATTTGGTTTTCATTTAACATTCAACACATATGTGTGGATTGGTTTGTGGATCTTCGGCCAAATTTCCAAGAGCCATTCACCAAAACGTAGGTAGGTGGTTTATGCGTGTACTAAATACTTCCGAAAAAATCTCAACGACGAATCGATAAATAAGCAATGGGTTATAAATCTTAGTTAATATAGCCTCTTAATAAATGATTATTTGACAGTTTAGCCGCATTCTCCATCCGAAGAGGATTTATTTGCATTACGACTTATTTGAAGATGAAAATTCCAATCCTTAGTGACAATTTGCTTGTAAGCATGATTAATAAATTACGTGATCTATTTATTTGATAGATCCACGGTTAAATGTTGTTTTTACTAGCTGGACACGGAGTATAAATAGCGTAATCATATTACGGACTTGATGAAATTGAATTGAAATACGTCGATAAAAGCATGAACCACAAATAATGCTGCTATTGGCCGCAAGATGGCTTTAATATATTTACAACAAATAAGTAATTAAATGGTGATACTTTGTGACGATGGCCCCGTTATTTTTGATGAGACGATATTTGATATTGAGCTAGAAGAAAATCTTTTCTGTCAACAATCCTAACTTTACGGGAAGTTCAAAAACTAATCTTGTGGTAGCGGCCGTGTCTAGAATCCGTGATGAAGCAGTAGCCAGCGGTGGTTTCAATATTTTGAAGTTCTACCTGTGGGAATTTCGACCTGTTTCTACAGGGGTATATGCTAGGTTTGAAAATTGTTTAGCGAAAAAGTGTTCCATGTCACGATTCTATGACAGTTTCGTATCTCGGACTTGGCATAGAAACATCTATATAGAAATAATTATAGACACTTTCTGACCAATGGTTCAATGTTACGTTTGAAGTCTATGAAAAGAATCCGTACTTGGTGTAATCTGTGAATCCGTGTGTCCTGGATATCTAGTCATGTTTAGACAATATTTAACTGATAAGGATATAGACCAGAAATACGACCTAAAGCAACTTTTACCAGATTTTCGTTTATAACCAGAATCCATCTTTCAGGCCACAAATACTGGCGGTTTTATTCGGACAGCAATAGAACATTTTCCATAATCAAATTATTAACGTAATTATGTGCTTTTTCTATGTCCAGTGCATTGTTTTAAATTAAAATATCGTATAGGGCTGCGTCTGTCTGTCTGGGAATAAAACAATATAGATTTCTAATGAATTAAAATAAAATCACATTAACTGTATTTGTGTATTTTTAACATCACATATGTATGTTTCAGATATATAGATATACTTAAATTTATATAAATAATTATAATGAATAATGTATTATAGTAATATTTTATAATATATATAGTGATATTTTCTTTAATAAGCCGATTTACTTCTATTTGTGTTCATTATCAAATGATTATTAAATTATTCGAATAACAGCAACAAAACATTTCTGTATAAATCTTATATAACGTAAAACAAAATTATATCAACAATTATAATGTATAACAACAAAATGTAAATAACAATTTTCAAGTCATAAATAATATGCGATGCAGATTTGTTATTTTATTTCTATCTTCGTCGTCATCATCATCATCGACTGGGAGGATAGGTAGATGTTTTTCAAATAAATATGCTTTTTTATTTCTGCATCTTTCTTATTTTAATGGGGCCTCGATAACAACAGGTTTTCGTCGTTGCACCACATAATATATTAGACATAGCGCTGCCACACCAATGCCACCAAACAAGGCAGCCCAATGGATGATGTCCAGCGTTTTAAGGGTATTGATGACACGTTTTTTAAAGAATGCCACCATTTCATCGTTCAATTGGATACCCTGTAGAGTAGAAAGTCAAATAAAAATCATTTTTTTATTTTGAAAGAAAAATATTGTGATTCGGGGGGAATAGAATGAGTCTATTGCTATAAATGAAGATTATGTTCATGAATATGCACTTTGCATTTTGAGAAACACAAGGAGTTAAAAAATGTAAGGGTAAATATAAAAAACAAAATTAAAATAGAATATGTACATATATTATATTATTATTATAATTGTGATAACAGCTTTTAGCTGACCTATGAAGATAGAATACTTACCTCTTCTACCCATATAGCCGGCATTAGAGATGTTGTTAGATTTTCTGTAATGGTTATACGATTGATGCTCTTCAAAAACATATTGAACTGCACGCGTTTTCCTCCCTGCAGAGGAGTACCAGTCAACTGAAATTAAAATGAATAAAAATCATTAAAATAAATGATAAAATAAAAATAATTGTTTTGTTCTGGAATCATTATATCGATACATTAAATGTGGTTTCAAGATCGGGCGTATCGAACTTTATGTATCCACCGCCACTAGTCGTATTTTAATATATAACTCTGAAATTTTGCACAGACATTTCAATTACTTTTAGAATGTTGGTATAGCCCACATATAATAGAAATTCCCAATATTCGGTATTTTAGGATGCCAGCGAATTGGCTGTAATATATATTGAGTCCAACGCGAGTGTCTGGTATTTTTCTTCTAAAGCCCCGATAGATTTCAAGTATTTTGAATGTCTACTTCATGTTGGAGGGAATAACAGATTGGGCTATGCCGAATTATATTGAAAATTCGAAATACCGAATATCAACTGGTATCCATAACCAAAAATGTAATCGATATCGACTGGGGCTGAAATTGGGTATTAAATCAAGGTTGGTGTGAAGGGATTTATAAAATAATATCATAAAATTGGATATATGGAACATTCTAATTGTGTAGGTTTGTGATAAGAGGACGGTTTTAGGAAATCCCTACTATAAATATTTTTAACTTTAGAATAGGAGTCTAACTCGAGGTGAGAAGGTGGGTTAATATGTTTTATAGCTAGAATCTGACATGTAAGCATTCTGTATGTGAGTGGCGTGTATTGTGAGTGTATTAATAAAAAATGTATTAGAATTAGGAATTCGTACTAGGAGTCTCCTATAGTGTTGGGTAGGTATTGTGGAAACCAAAAGCATTGGATGGTAGTATATATATATATATGTAGTTTTTGCTGAACCAATGGAGATTGAATCCTCAACTTTAAGAGGGTTGGTATAAGGATCTGGTTTTGGAAATACCAAATGATAAAAGATTTAGTACGAACGAGTTTGGTGGGAACGAATAGAAATGTAACCTCCAACAATGCCTCACTATATTTTTTGGAAATGTTTAATAAATAAACTACTAAATTTAGTAGAAGTGGTATTCAGTTGCCACATTAAGGTAATGTGTTTTAAGATTTTAATTATAGGCTTTCTAGTACAGTAATTGTACAAAATATACGATAATGTACACAATTAGCTGCCATTGTATTTTATGAAACGAATATAACTTTATCATTGGCATATTCGGTGTGATACATTTGGTATGATCACAGCTATAGTAGGGATTCACAGCTATTGTTGGAATTCAGACAGTTCGATGACTCATGATATTTATCCAATTTTAAAGTTTTATTTTGTGTATTTATCGAGCATAAGGAAACAAGATTGACCAATAGATGACAAGAACAGTTACATGGTATACCGACATTAGATTAGAATTGCATATATAATTTGTAAAGTGTTGAAATAAAATTCTTAGAGCTCTTCTTTTATATACCCGTCCGACTTTGTTCATTTGCTTATTGGCTTCCCTTCCTGCATTTCAAGTTCGAGGTCTTTTAGAATCTCACTCATTGATTGTAAAATTTGGGGATAGAAGAAAAGGGATTCTGAAATTCTTCATTTTATTATCAATATGCTGTACAGTGGAATTCGACTGTTAACCATTTTAATGAATCGAAATACATATTATGTACATATGTATTTTGCTTTACTTACATGTTGAACATCGACGAATGTTTGATGTATTCGAGCATCCGGTTTCAGACCTTTTATTGTTTTCGTATATTCATTGGAGGCGCCAAGCATATGCGGTAGAGTCAATATGACAGGAGCATCTAGAAATACAATACGAAAAAATACAATTAAATTAATAGGCATATATGAATAATATGAAAATATTTTATGATATTTATTGTAGCAATGCATGAGATATTGATTTAAAGAGTTCGTTGTCTCGGTTAACTGAAGTAAAGATAGAATATTTTGTTGCTGTGTTTTAAAACAAAATTGTTGTTGGCCTTTTTAAATTGAATTGCATTTTTAAATGCAAAACATTTTAAATACCCCAGCAAAATTTATTAATTAAGTTTTATTATCGACTTGCATTGGATTGCCTTGACAAAGGCTTAAAACAACAAAAAAACACAAACAATTCTAGAGAAGAATGTGAAATTCTTGATGGCAAAAAGTCGATATCAGTTAATAAACAATTAAAACGTTTAATATTAATTATTAAGGTGTGAATTTGTAAACAGAAAAAAAGGGAATTTGATGTTTATTAAATTGTTGTGTAAATTTGATTTTTATACTTCAGGCGCCATGGAATGAGTCTTTTCATTCCAAGGAAATATTTGTAGTGAAATGCGAATGTGTGTTTGTCGTAAATCGAGGAAGTGACCTATTTTAAAGGATTTTTATAAAGCAACATTTTACTTTGTGGCCGAGATATAATTGCCTTTACTTTTATTGTCTGATAGCTAATGCGAACCTTAAGAATACCAAAGGTTCCAAAAAATTAAATTACTCAACCAATAAATATATTTCTGGAGATATTCTTTATTATTTATTGTTTGCCTAAAAATGTATATAGCAAATCTCGTATAAAAGGTGTAGTTAATGATTTCCGCATTTGAATGTACTATAAATATTTAATTGTTCTTATCAAAAAAGATCTCATACCAAATTTTATTATTTCAGCTAATAAAATGTTTCAACTTGTTGTTGTTCTTCTAACCACACATTTAATTGAAATATCCACTTAAAAACACTTAACAATAACTTAATAAAACAAATTCTGACATTTAATATTAGTGGTGTGTTATCGTTTATGAAATTATCTATTATAGGAGGTAATTTATCAATTTTATTGTGGTACGACCGGTAGTTGTTGGAAGAGTGAATCCAGTTTTATTTTATAATTTTCTATTGTGGGAGTTGGGAGAGATTTCACTTGACCACGAGTGAAGGGTATTCTAATTGGTTTATGGGTAATAAATAATAAACATGTACACTAATTTCTTTGAACATAGTATTTAGTACATGATATTTTACCCCAAAAGTTTCAGAATTAAATCTCAAATGCACCCTAGACATGACTAGAGATGATATAAATCGCAGACAGCTCATGATTTTTGATATATACGAGGTGTGATAATATCAATTTTCGAATTTCGTGGTGTTCGATTTTCGTATTTTTATACCTTTTAACCCACTGTGGCACAGGGTATTATGTCTTTGTGAATATGTTTGTAACATGCAAGTAGAAACGAGATAGACCTATGGTTACTTTTGATAATATGCATAGAATCACTTTCAGAGTCGATTTATGTATATCCGTCTGTCCATGTAAAATTGTAAACAATGGACAGGTCACATTTATTATCCGAGTGAGAAGAAATTTGACGTTTATTTGGACCAATGCTAACCCTATTTTAGAAAATCGGTTCTGAATTAAATATAGATATATTTTCGTCCAATTCAGAATTCAAACATGAGCTGTTGAGTATACTTAGAAGGGCGCTCCAAAAGTATTTCGATCATTTCAAAAACGTTGTCATAAGTTTTCCATTTAAAAATCTTGATCGATTTTAGGTACCTTCAATGACCACCTTGTGGTGGAGAAAACAAATATGGCTCAACGTCTGTTTGTCTAAATTACAACGGAGCACTCGGAATATCTAAGATATAGCTTTGCACATACTACACTTTACACGTTTTGGTATAGCCATGGAACAATTAGTCCATGGCACAATGAAAATGTAGTCCATTTAGATCAGCTGATGTCTTGATTAACTGTCAAAGTGCGTAATTTCTACTTGCATTCGATGTGCAATGTTGCCAACTATGTGAAATATTATATGAAACAATTTGACAGAAGGTCGAGACAAAAACAAAGGTTTTTGTTGTGATACATCACCTTATTATTGCATCATGAATTAGTCCATCTGACGATTCGATTAACTATCAAAGTGTGCAGTATCTACTTGAATTCGATTTGCAATGTTGCCAACCATGTGAATTATTACTATAAAAAATTTGACAGATGGTCGGGACAAAAACAAATGTTTTTCTTTCGATACATCACCTTATTATTATAGTGTATAGTCCATGATGCAATAATAAGGTGATGTATCACAACAACAACCTATGTTTTTGTCTCGATTATCTGTCAAATTTTTCCATATAATATTTCAAATGGTTGGCAACACTGCACAACGAATTCAAGTAGAAATTACCCACTTTGACAGTTAATCAAGACATCAGTTGCGCTTAATGGACTACCTATTCATTGTGCCATGGTATAGTCTCTACCAAGACCTATTATTTTTTATACATATTTTTCATCAAGTCTAATTTTAAAAATTTTAACGTTATTTAAATTATGACAGCAAACTTAAGAAGCAGCTGATGTCCCTGGATGACCTTATTAATAGGCATTGGTTTATACCATTGGTTTACTCGAGTTTACTGAAAGAATTTTATTCAGTAAGATTTTGCAAACACAGCCATTTTTGGATCAGCTGTTTTATGACCAAACACAAAAAATTTTTCAAAACATTGTTTTTTTTTTTTTAATTTGCAAAGTTCAATTTGAAATTAAGTTGTATACAAATTACAGAAAATGGAAGAAAATTCGTAAGTAATGCAAAGTTTCATTAAATTAGAAATTAATTCTTTATATTTTAGGCAAATTTCAGAAAGAGGGCAATGTATTGATGCAGGAAGCTTAAAGGTTCCCGAAGGACATAATACATCAAAATTTCTTTTATTGTCCATTTTATTTTTAATATTAAATGCAATACAAATAATTGTGTTTTTTCTTGAATCAGCTGTTTATTTGCTGAATCTTACTAAATATTGTTTACTTTTCTCAGTATTATCGCAAATGAGAGTAAAAACGGCTTACTCTCTGAACTAGAACTTACAGAGTAAATGTTATTGGAAAAGTTACTGGAAAAGTAAAGAAAAAATTGACAGATGGTCGAGATAAAAACAAAGGTTTTTGTTTTGATACATCACCTTATTATTGCTTGGCACAATAAATAATTGTCAATGTGCGAAATTTCTACTTGAATTCGATGTGCAAGGTTGCCAACCATATGAAATAATATAAGGAAACATTTGACAGATGGTCGAGAGTGATACATCACTTTATTATTGAATCCTGGTTATAGCCTCATATAAAGGTCCCGATTGTTTGTGGTAGGTAATTTGGTGATCGCAAACGCATTTTTAAATTAGTATTCTGGTTTATTCGTGACAAGGGTTTGACAAAAGACATAAAATATGGACATTGCTCCAAAATGTATATATAACGATTGTGTGTGCTCGAGTTTGTAATAACTAGAAAGATTGGTCATAGGCCCACACTGACTACCTGAATCCATCCGTCCATTTGTTCATTATAAAAATTCTCAAACTGCTTTGCTTAAATTATTTTGTATCATGTGCTTGCCATATAACATTGTTGTAATTGTTATTTAAAACACTTCGTATAAATTATATAACAAATTATATTTACAAATCTCACAATAATTCTAAGCACCCCAAAATACTTTAAAACTCAGAATCAATCATTATTAGTATTCAATGCGATGACCGAAACATATCCCTGAATATTAACATTGACAACAAATTAACAGTAACAACAACAAATTCGAAGGCAACAAAATTGATCGATACTTTCAATTTCATTAAGAAAAATGTTCACGAAATAACTTCACTTTGTATATTTATCTTCGATGTCTATTTTTGCCTCATTCAAAGTGTTAAAATGTTAATTAGGAAGAACAAATCTTTTGTTGCGAGGTACACCAGAGTTCTTCAGAAAAATAAAATTACGAAATATAACAAGTCATGGAACAATTCACATAAAGTGGTTATATCAAAGGAAGAATAAAAGAAACAATAATATAATGAAACGAAGAAAAAACTATGATGGACTTTTACTTATATCGTGGGTGAATTTGTTTCAGATTTCTTCGGTGATTGATGCGGTACACGCTTAAAACGTACTTATTTAACACTTCAGATATTAAGTACCTGAAGTGTTAGAACCAAGAAATATAAGCACTTAAGATACTTCGAAGATGAGTCGTTTTTTTTTCAATAAAACAATCAATTTTATCAAGAATACTATTTAATGCTTTATGATGATGATGGGTTAATAAACTTATGTTTATATTTGCCACAATAATATGGGGTTATCCACAAAAAGAACACCGACTATTTTGGGATACCGTTAGATGGGACTATACCAAAACGTGGACCGATATATAACATTTTCAAATACCAAATATATTAGGAGTATCAATAATATATCAATCTTACACTCCCCGTTATAGTGGAGGGTATACAAATAATTTCAACGTAACGAAAATTAATCTGGACCTTTTTTATGGGATATGTATATAAAAACATGATCCTGTTTCGGGGATGAAGTTCTTTGTTCACGAAGTGAGTAATTTCGACTGAAACTTTCAAAATATGAACTTATATTAAGTAGCTCTGGATTTAAAATGTTCATTTATTCTTCTTCTAAATTGCAACGCCCCTTTTTTGGCACTTTAAAGGATTTGGCCAACCTTTAAAGTGACAAAAATGAGGTGAACCTTTATATGGGAATTTTGTCAAAATATGCACCTATATTGGAAATTTTCACCTTCCGGAATGACAAATAAAAGCCACATTAGTGGCTTTATATGGGGGCTTAGGACATATATCGAAATTTTTCTGAATAGATGCATATTGAAAGCCAATATGCTTTCCCTTGGGTCACCTTTATAACATTGTCAAAACATGGACCCATAAAAAATTGGCCTTTGAAGAACCCGAA